ATATGTTTTACTCCTGCTGGTCTAGAGAAACAAAGTGCAGAGAAGACACCCCCTGCCCCATACACACACACACAGCCCCAGAGGGGCGTGCTAGGCTGGGCTCCGTTTCCCTCTGCCTGTTTCCCGCTCTGCACTTGGCGAGGCAGATAAGAGTAAAGTTACATTTCCCCTTCAGTTTCTAAGGTGAAATGGGAGCAATGGATTCTATGCTACCCCACAAACAAAACAAAACAAAACAAGACAAAAAAGCCTTTCCACTTGCCAGATCTGATACCACAGGTTACCTAGCTCCTGGAACTGTGCTTGCACAGAATCGCATTAGTAGGAATTTTAACAGAAAGCTATTATGCCCATACTGTCGGTGAGCCTTCTGCCAGCCCTTCTCAAAAGAGCTCCATTACAACAGAGATCCTGCTAAAGAAAACCAAACACTACCTATCTACCAAAATTCCTCTTCGGGGGGTAGAAGAACAAAACAACCAAACATCTTCCTCCTCTACTTTGACAACCAAACAGCTCAGTGCTACAAATCAAAACTATACTTGTAACCCGTCAGTGAAGACAGAGTGAAACCAACCCCTAGACAACAAAGCCAGGAAAGTTCCGGCCTCTGCTAGCCTTTATTCTGCCCTCCTCCATTAAGTCCCACCCAAGTTTTCCTAAATGTATATTCTGGTGATATATTCTGATCTTGTCAAGAGCTCTTCACAGGGGAACAACTTCTCAAAGGGAATCCAAAGTGGGCTTTGAAGATGGGTCAGAAATCAGGCAGTTTTCTGCATTGTTATTCTACTGTGAAATGTGAAACACTACTTTGTTACTTTCCAGAGTTTTCTACGAACAAATCTTGTTTTGTTTTCTTCTGCTGGATGGTGATCAAACCCAGAACCTCTCACATGTGTAAAGAATCTACCACTCAGCCAGGGCTACACCTAGCTCTCTGAAGAAACCCTAGGCTAAAGGAGGAAGGAGAGGGAGGGGACACTGGTTCTCATTGAACGTAGAGACTCGTGCAGAGAAGCAGCCAAGACAAGCATTTCAGGAGGCACTGCCTCCATATGCTGCCTACTAAGGGCTTGGTGGGAGTGCCCTGCCACCCCCAGAACCCCATCTTCACCAGCTCAGCATCACAGCCTGCCTGCATGCACCAGAGGGTCTTCCAACACATTTGGTGTTTATGATCTCCACTGTCTCTCATGGGGCCTTGAGACAGGGTGAGAGAAAGATTAGCATCACCCCATAGCAGCTAGAAACCAAGAAGCAGGGGTGAAGCAGCCTGCCCAGTCACACGCAGACTCAAGAGCAGCAGCCGGAAACCTGGCTGCCTGGCTCCACGCACTCTGCTTCTTCCGTCTCTGAAGTACTATTTTCGTAAAGGTTTCTCTTTCAATAAAGGAATCAGAACAAGCCACGTGACTTTCATTCACGAAAGCCTGTGTGTTTTCTCAGGCACCTTGGCTGTCTCCTGGTGCAAAGAGGGTGGGGCGCCCTGCACCATATTTCTATCCACATAGCCCAGGGCACCTCCCAGAAGCAAAGCCGGCCCATGCAGCCTTCCTGAGGCTCATGGCACTACTTTACGACTTGGAGGGGCAATACCTTCCAGACAAGAGTTCCAATTCTTATTCTTCCTTTGGAAACACTTTTAATTTCAGACTCTTTTTACTCCAAGATAGGAGTGGATGGTCTTTATACCAGGAAAACTTAAAAAAGTAGATGCTTTTTGTAGTGATAGTTCTTTTTTTTTTTTTTTTTGATCCAGTCATGGGGCCTGAACTCTGGGCCTGGGCGCTGTCCCTCAGCTTTTCAGCTCAAGGCTAGAGCTCTACCACTTGAGCCACAACACCACTTCCGGCTTTTTCTTATGTGGTGCTGAGGAATCGAACCCAGGGCCTTGTGCATGCAAGGCAAGCACTCAACCACTGAGCCACCTTCCCAGCCCATGTAGTCGTAGTTCTTATCTAATCTGTTTGCTACACACAAACCAATTTTAGAATAAAAAGCCCCTTAGTAAGGATGTACCAACATGTCGCAAGAGGCCATATCAACCTAGCATACTCATACAGAAATAAAATTACTCTTAAGGAGCTGCTTTCAAACACATAACATTTAAAAATCCTATAGAACAATCACGTTTTTCTGTATACACACACATAACACACATGACCAGTAAGATAATAAGCATAAATTAGTACACACATGTACACCATATGTATATACACACAACTAAGGTGTGCTGGCTTTCCTGTCAGTGCTGCTCTCAGTTGGTTCCCAATTCTGCTATTACCAATCATTGCTGCAACTGGGCGGCTTGGTTACCATGTGCGCAAACATATCAGTTACCACGTGTGCAAACACTCAACACTACAGAACACCACGGGCCCCCACCCCATTATTCTGCTTCCCAGGCACTGACAAGGTCTGATCTGCAGCTGATTTGGTTGGAAGCTTCTAAGAGTTCGGGCAAAACGAAGCCCATTTCCTGCTACACCCCCTAAAGAAGTACTTGAATCCAACTTTATAAATCATTTTCCCCAAGGACACTCATCTACAAAAAACCTGTAATCTGTAAGCACTGAAAATAAAGTTTCTACTTGCATGTGTGAGTTTCATGAAAGTCAATGTCCATTCTGAGTTTCTAAACATCCTCTTTCAGTTCCATAGAAAGGAACATTCCATGAAGTCCAGCATGTACTGCACAGCAGGGAACAGGCTTCCCTAGCAAGGACCGCAAGCTCGCCTCTCCCTTTCTCCTGTTCCCTGAAGTCATTTTCTAGAAATCCATTTTGGCCTATGTGCCTTCTTTTTAACATGTGGTTTGGGCGCAGTTGGACAAATTGGAACTATCTTTTTCCTTTAGCATTGTCTTTTTCTTTCTCATAAGGCTGCTTACCATAATAACCACAGACTTTGGAAAAAGAGCAGCAACTAAAATGACCTCTATTCAGCATGGAACATGCAAGCAAACTGCTGCCTAGACTTCAGAACTGTGAATCCTATAGGTGGAGAGCAATTTTACGCCTATGGAAACCTTAAATAGGGCAGACTAAGACAGGTGTCTAAGCAAACTCACCTGCTATAGATCAGAACTGTCACTATTCTACAAGAGGCCACCTACAATGGAATTTTAAGCTGAAATACAGTGGTTCTAGAGGCCTTGAGTCCTCTTGGGTGTGGGCTGGGTTGTAGCCCAGGCTTCCATGGGAAAAAAAATCACAGTCCTGGACCCATCCACCTCAACTCTGTGGGTTCCATCTGCCCCTTCATCAAGACAGGGAGGTGTTCCATCCTCAGGCTGTACATCTAATTAGAAGCAGATATAGGCAAAAAGAGGCTCCCTCCGTCTGACTTTGATGTATACCCACGTGGACACACCATATGTTTGCGTGTAAGTGGGTGCACGCATGCGCAAACCCTCATCTTCCTTCCCATCCCCTTCCACGCTGCTCTGTTTACATGGTTGATGGTTTGGATGGCAGCTAGCACTTTGATTCCCTGGCACCCTCGCAATTTCACAGTGTTTAATATAACTCCAAGCAAAGTGACCTTCAACTGAAGTCCCCTGAATTAGAACATGGCAGCAACCTCTCGGGCCCTGAATCTGATCATTCCGTCTGACTTTGTCTCTGCCTTTCTACGGCCGTAATAGGAAAGGAAATAGAACAAAGGGTACTCTGCCTGCAGCTATCATTTCACATCATCCATGCTGGACTTCAGCAGCATTCATCTGGTCTGCTCAGTTTACAAACAAAAGGCATGCGGATCCCGCAACATCCCATCATCCCCTCTGCCAGTCAGTGCTCAGCTCACACCAGCACCCAGCACAGGGTCTACCCACACTAGTAGTAGGGAACGGTTCCCTCAGCCTGGCCTGCTAACACCCGAACCAACAGCTACACAATTAACAACACTTGACTCTAACAACACTCCAGCTCCTCCTGCCTCCCCTGACAGCCCATTCTCAGTCCAAGGCAGCCAGAAGGGCTGGCCAGCTGCAGAGAGAGCGCAAACCCATCTCTGGTTGCTCATGGATAGTTAATGAGATGGGAAGAGCGCTGAGCAGCCTCATGTCCAGCTGTTCTTGGAAAGACCTGTGTTTTTGTCTTGCCCTGTTTCCTTAAAGCACTGATCCTGAGACCTGGCTGCACTTTTAAACCACCAGGCTACAGTGAGAAACACCAGCATTTGATCTCTGTCAGCCCATGATTGACTATCACAGGGTCTGTAATTCTAAAACTGCCCCACTGGTTTCTCCGAGTTCCATCATCCACACATAACCTAAGGATTGACTAGAGTTGCACCTTCTGTGATGCACGCCTCCAATCCCAGCATTCAGGAGGCTGAGGCAGGAAGATGGAGAATTTGAAGAGAGCCTGGGCTCTCAAAGAAAAAAACGAAAACAAAACCAAACCCAATAAAAAGACCTTCAGGCTCTGGGCTAGGCCCCACCTAGATCACCACCCCACCCTGGGTGGTAAACCAGGGTTCCCAGACAGCATGCAGGGTGCTGCAAGCCCTCCAAGTGACAACCACACCCCCATGGGCAGGCTCCTCCGGCTACCTGCAAATCTGGGATGCTCCCTTTCAGCAGCCACCCAAACCCATGTACCAAGGCCTCTCCTAAGCCTTGTGGCTTGAACAGCGACCTGGGGTCGGGCCAGGCCCACGAGGAAGCAGCCCCCCCAACGGTCTGCCTCTGGCCATGTCTCACCTTCGACCTCGAGCGGGTCTTGGCCGGTGAACTTCCTCAGAGCCAAGGGGTGGGGAAGGGACTCAAGAGAAATGGGGCTGAAACAAGGCTAGTCTCCCTCCCACGGGGAAGACTGAAACCCAGGGCCCACCTAAGTGTCGTTTCCCGCCCCCCCCCCGCGCTCTTCGGGGAAGGGGGGGGGGTGAACCTGTGTCCGCGCCCGTGCCCCGGCGTCCAGCCAGGAGGGAGGCCCAGGGGCGGCCTCTGCCCCCCCCCCCCGCACCGGCCTCACCGTTCACCCGGGCCTTACCTTTCACCGCGGTGGCCTCCTTCAAGTGATGGGACAGGAAGTCCAGGCTGGCGTAGGCGCTGGCGGCAGGCAGGGCACTGGGGCCCGGGCCGCCGCCACCCACCGCGCCGAGGAGCCCCCCCAGGCTGCGGGTCCGGCCCCAGGAGCTCTTGTCTGCGGACTGGGGGTGCTGCGCGGGTGGTGGCTCGTCCCTCACGTCGATGGCGATGTAGTTGAGGCTGCTCTGGAACCCCGATGACGAGGTCTCTCGGCGCAGGGGCGAACCGCCGGCCCCGGAGGGACAGCCCGCCAAGGCCCCGGGCTGCCCGGGGGTCCACGCGCGGGCCGGGGGCG